TTTAGAAAATTGGGCAGACTAGATGGGCCGAATGGTTCTTATCTGCCGTCACATTCTATGTTTCTATGTTTAGCAATCCCTAACTGCATGGGTTCCTCCTCTGATACTTTGGAACCCTCAGGAGTTTCAGCTCTAGGTGTATTAAGTGTAACAAGGTGTCTATTCCTAGTCTTGGTATTTAGCCTGTCACGAATCCTATTATATATATCGATGAGATAGTCGATAAGGTCTTCTACAGGAAGATCCCTAGCCGCCACCTCGTCCAATAAAGTTTCAGACAGACTTTCCATGAATGCAGTAGTCAGCCCATTGTTGGTCCAATCTACCTGTGAAGCAAGGGTACGGAACTGAATAGCATAATCAGCAACAGATTTAGATCCTTGCTTAATTCTCATTAACACCCTGGCAGCATTCTTCGACCTTTTAGTTGTGTCAAAGGTTCTACGAAAAGCCGTAAGGAAGCTATTGAAATCATGCACCATAGGTCCATTAGCCTCCCAAATGGGATTTGCCCACTCAAGTGCTTTATCTGTAAGTTGGTGCATAAGGAAACCCACCTTAGACCTATCAGTGGGAAATGAACGTGGATACATTTCAAAGTGGAATTCCACTTGATTAAGGAATCCCCTGCATGTCTTAGCATCCCCTCCATACCTAGGTGGAGGAGTTAGATGTGCAGAAGCATTAGGCATAGTAGATGTGTCTGGTACAGGGGGTGCAGGAGGTGCTGGTACAGGTACCGGAGCCGTTCTGGATAAAAGTGTCTGGATGGCCTGAGCCATCTGATCCATACAGTGATCCTGCTCTGCAAATCTTGCCTCACGAGTAGCCATCTGCTGTCCTAAACCTGTGGGGTCCATGGCCCTACCGTAATGTCACGGTAGTGTACCCCAACACGCAAGATTTAGTCCAAGAGACAAGATAAAAAAAAGATACGTCTTACCGGGCCTTAGAATGGCTGGACTCAACGTAGTACCGGGAAATGACAGTCAGGAACGAGCCAAGGTCAAGGGAACAGAGAGATAGCGAAAACAAGAACTAGCCAAGGACTGGTACACAGGAGTCAGGAAACCGGAAAACAAGACAAAACAGGGATAAAGAGAAAAACGAAGTCAGGTACAAAGCCAAGGTCAAGCACGAAAAAAAACACTACTGGACGAATCAAGCACTAAAGGGAACTGAATCAGAAACCACGATAGGGAAAGGTGAGTATAAATACCTTAGAGTTTAGTTTGATTGGCCCCTGTCATATCCACGCCCCCAATGTATGGGGAATGTGGAATGACATGGGCCAATGGGAGACTGTTTTGCATTTCGGCTCCCACTGTCCATTTAAAAGCACGCCCAATACGCACAGCGCGCTCCCAGAGCCAGGCGAGTCACGTGGCCGCATCTCGCGGTCAGTGCACGCCTTCCGGATCTCCCCGGACGACGAGCTGTGCGCAGCTCGTGCAGATGCAGGACCTCGCCCAGATCCCGGAGAGGGTAAGTTGCGCTACAGATCGTTGGAGCTATAAGACTGTACAACAGTCTGGCATGGCAGTCAGGCTCTAATACTCTCCTGCATCATTTTAATGTATTAGCAAGTATCTTTTCTGCCCTATGGCCTGAATAGAGTAAAATAAATATGCTTGTTTTTCCGCGTTATACACATAATATCTGGATGGAATGCAGTGTTAAAGATGAGATAACTGCCACGTGGTCTGACCACAAAATTAGTCCAATGACTGCCTTTCAGATTTTTTTAATATAGTAAAGCGATCCACCAGGCACACATCTATTGTCTTATAGTTATGGTGTAAAGGAGAATAGAAGGTGTAGTCACGAGCACACAGATACTTAAAGGGACACTATAGGCACCCAGACCACTTCAGCTCATTGAAGTTGTCTGGGTGCAAGTCCCATGTCCCTTAACCCTACAGGTAATTATTGAATTTTCTAAGAAGCTGCAATAATTATCTCTCAGGGTTAACTCCATCTTTAGTGGCTGTCTACCAGACAGCCACGAGGGACTTCTGGGTGCGTAGACTACTTTTGGTCATCTGACGCTGAACTCCCAGCATCACTGGAATCCCAAAAGGAAAACTATGAGGAAATCCTAATGCGAGCGCGTCCACTGCCGCGCATGCGGTCTCCCCCACCGTCGGAGAAGCGTGGATGGAGCCTGACCCAGCGCCAGTGTCAGGTAAGTGAATGAAGGGTTTTTAATGGCTTTGTTTACCTGGCAATATAGAATCCCTTTAACTCTCCAGGCATCAGATACATTAAACATACCCAGCAATTGGGCTAGCTGGCAGTTCAACGACCCTGTCGAACTAGCCAGATACACCCTACAGTTACCTTTTGCAGATCCATAGTTGGAACAACAATGCAGTTAAGATCTCTACATATCATTAGGTGGCCCACTTATAATTGGGTACATATTTTGAAAGACACTCTATAGCGAGCTTCCTGTTGGGTACATATAGGTTTGCAATTGTCACAGTTTAATCATTAAGAGAACCCACCAAGACCAATAGCCTGCATCCAGTATCACTGTATAGTATAGTATAGTATTGTATAGTAAGAGGAAACACCCAGTCCTTGTGAAAAGAATCAAGACACCCTTGGACCTGGTATTAGAGTAAGAATAAAATCCCACCATGTATCTCTGAGATTTCAGTTGACAAGGTTACATTTAGAAAAATGGGTTTCCTGGAGGCAGGCCACTGCAGGAAAAACCATATCTAGCTCTGTAAGAAGTACGCTTATGTGTCGAATTTAGTTTTTTTAATGTTAAGTGTAAGAATAGAAAATGTATGGGGCATCTTTGAGTATGCAAATGATAGATGGTGTTAATCCAACTGTCCTGGCCCTCGAGAACAGGGGTCCAAAGTACCACGGGGCTGTGAGATGCCCAGGATGGACACTGGTTTTTGGATATGGTAAAAGAAAATGCCATAATGGATGCAATAGCATGGAACAAACTACAAATAAAATAAATTTAAAGAAACTGCATACACAAATACATTTATGAGTGCAGTAATAAGTATCCATATGAAATGAAGCAAGAAATTAAATATATAGAATGATGAATAGTTACACATCCAAGCTGGAGAAACAGATGTATATAAACTGTTCTATATACCATTGAGTTTTAGTAACCCAAAACCGTATCCCTTCACATGTCCACTTAGGAATTTCTAGGGGCTAGGGGATTGCCCTTAAAGGCATATCATCTGATGTTCAAACACTAGCTGTTGTGTGGCCAGCAAGGGAAGTCCAGGATGCACCAACCCCACCTATCAGCACATTGAGTTTTAATGAACCCGAGAGTTAGAAAATTGATGCGAAGAGTTTCTCAACCCCAGTAGGGACATGTATACAGATTTAGTACTGCTTCACTGGTGCACTGAAAGAATGCTAAAATCCAGCAAGGCCCATCAATATGTCAAGGGAAGGCCTTTTCTATAAGTTCACCGGTGATATAAAATCACCCACGGAGAGGGACACATTACATCAAGGCTGAATTTTTGCACAGACAGCTCTCCCCTAGAGAAATTGGTTAAATTCCCAACCAACAAAAAAAACAGAATAAAACTATATACAGCCAAAATAATAGCTTAACCATTTATCCCAATAGAATAGATTGCCAACACATAGCGGTGGCCCATGGCCTGTAGCATTCCAAAGTCCCTAAACATAAAGAACATAATCGCCCAGTCAAGTGGAACAGGCCATTCCATAGGCCTTCACAGGACCTATATCGCTGGGGAAATTGGGGGGGTATTACCAGCCCTAAGTGTGGAGACCCTGCCCCTTCAGGGAGGGGATCCAACTTGTTGCAAGTCATGTATAGCCTTAAGTGGACGAAACTTCTACTTCACCGATGCAGAAGAGGCAGGGGAAGCAGACGAGGAAGAGACTAGATTAAACTTCCATAGTAAGCACTCGCCAGCCTCCAGTTCAGGAATGAACCTAAGAAGAGGTTGTTTTTTTTTGGGGGGGGGGGGGGCCCAAGGGGGGGAAGATCCTTCCCATGATAAATACAGAGCCATACTATAGTGTCCATTGAAGCATTCAGGGGCATAATATGTTGTGGCCTCAGAAGCCTTTGAACCCTGTACAATAGGAGATGTTGGTCTTCATTTGCTGTAAAATAGCATGGAATACTAGCTGGAGATAATGTCAGGGCGCATCCAAGGTGACCGACTAGATCAGAGCTGCCCAAAAAGTAGATCCCCAGATGTTGTAGAACTACAACTCCCATGATGATTTGCATGTCTTTAGAATGACAAAGCATCATGGAAGCTGTAGTTTTAAAACATCCGGGGAGCTACCATATAGGCACCCCTGGACTAGAGTGTGACCCTAATCCAGATGTATATTCTGAAGCAGTCCTCCAAGTCGCCCCCCTTGGACAGTAATGCTGCATGATATTCCTGCAGTTTTTGTAGTTAATCTGCCACGTTATCTACCGTGCACAATTTTCTGTTCTTTATTGCAGGAAGTGCAACAAAGTAGGATGCTGAGGGGAGGGAAATGGAAGCAAAGGCCATGCAGTTATTCTTTCAGTAAAAAAGTAATATTTCATAGGTCTCTTATTTGAACATGGTGAATTTCTAATTTTCAGCTTAATTTAATATACATAAAAATTGGTAAAATTTGCAAAAAACATTTTCTCTCCTGGAGTCTGTGACCCCTTCTTTGCCCACATGCACAATAACCCATTCAGCTAGATTTATCCAGTTAGGAAATGCTCTTGTTATTTCACAATGTAAAATTTCAAGAGTTTGAGGCTTTTCTGGCTGGTGAAGGAAGCCAATGGTAACTTCAAAATCTTGTATCTTGCCTAAATGAGCATATGAGCACACTACTCTACTAAACACACATCTAAAGTGACTTTGAAAATAAAATGTTGCAACATGAGGTCATCTGGTTTTCTCACACACCAATCTTAAAAACTTTGAAACATAAATCATTTTTTAAGGGAGATTAAAATAACCTACTCGGACAGTTGCTTAATTCAAAAAGGTTGTTTATTACACAATAAAAAAATAAAATACATAAGGAAAAACATTGTATGTAACACGTCTTTATAACACTCACGAATGCATGACATGGTCTTTAGTGAATAAGGTGTCCAGTCACTTTCAAAATTGTTTTTCACTTCTACGCACCAGAAGCACTACAGCCTAATGTGTGACCTGGTGCAAAAATGTGTCCCTGTAATCTGACAATTATAAAACACTGCCTTTACTGAGAAAAGAAAATGTTTACATTTGTTATTCAGACAGCCATTAGAAGCACTTCCTGTTATGGTCCTGCAATCTTTGAAGTATGATACAAAAAAGAAGAAAAGTGAATGGCGCTTACACAGTAAAACAGGAGCACAGTTGGAGTGGAAAGGGTGTTCCCCAACACCCTAAAATCAAGTAATAGAAAAAGGTACTAAAAGCAACAAGTGCCAAATACACACACCACTCCCTGTGTATCAAAACAGGCAATAATAATACTTATACATGTACAGGTACATATAGGAGATGGTCCATATAAAAACCTATAAAGATAAAAAATAGTACATAGTATAGCCTGTATATACAGAAGAAGGAAATATGGAAGTGATTGAATACACTCACGGATTTCAGAGCCGTGCCAGGCTCTGTATATGGTGCCCAAGGGTGCCTCAGAAGGCTCTGTGGAGAATCTTGAATAATATCCCCCAGAAGTAGGAAAAAACAGCAGCAGAAGGATGAATAAAAATAATACATTTATTGTAAGTAAAAATTAAAAATTAAAATAGTAACTGTGCAGGTCCCATATGGTGACACACAGAATCACAGTCATGCAGACGCGTTTCAACTCAGTCCGAGTTTTCATCAGTGCATAAAACATCCAGCTGCTGTTCCATTTTAAAATCACTGCTTATTCTAATTGCCGGTCACATGGGCGGAAGTTGACTGACGTCACTTCCGGTATTTCAGCATTCATTTTCCTGCTTGATTGTATTCAATGCATTTGCCCAGTTGAAGCTGAAAACTCCATGTAGTGAATGGGCATCTTGTATGATTATTAGAGTGCATACAGGAACAATGATTTATACTAAGAAAAGTGACATAATTGTCTATACAAATAGCGGTAATCATACAATGATATGTATAAAAAAGAAAATTAATTGGTAAACAACATTATAAACACATAATACCTTATGTCAGTTTCAGATAGATTTGTTAGTACATTTGCCCAAATGAAGCAAAAAGCTCCATATTAAAGATGGGCACCTTTCATATCTTATAAAGTGTGTACATATAGGTAGTTATTTGTAACATGAGAAGAGACATAACTATTTGTGCAAATAGCAACAATAGTGCAATGCTGCATACCAAAAGGAAAAGAGGAATATATATGTATTAATAAAAAACAACAACATATGGGCACATAGTATGTGGTATCTTAAAGGTATACATCACATCTAAGTTATGTAAATGTAGCCCATATAGAATAGGATTGGTGAGTGAAAGAAAAAAGAAAATTTAATTTTAAAAAATGAGCCAATTCAAAATCTAAATTCAAACCCTTAGGGGATAAAGTGTTTAATTCGAATATCCACCTACTTTCAATTAAACACTTTATCCCCTAAGGGCTTGAATTTAGATTTTGAATTGGCTCATTTTTTATAATTAAATTTTCTTTTTTCTTTCACTCACCAATCCTATTCTATATGGGCTACATTTACATAACTTAGATGTGATGTATACCTTTAAGATACCACATACTATGTGCCCATATGATGTTGTTTTTTATTAATACATATATATTCCTCTTTTCCTTTTGGTATGCAGCATTGCACTATTGTTGCTATTTGCACAAATAGTTATGTCTCTTCTCATGTTACAAATAACTACCTATATGTACACACTTTATAAGATATGAAAGGTGCCCATCTTTAATATGGAGCTTTTTGCTTCATTTGGGCAAATGTACTAACAAATCTATCTGAAACTGACATAAGGTATTATGTGTTTATAATGTTGTTTACCAATTAATTTTCTCTTTTATACATATCATTGTATGATTACCGCTATTTGTATAGACAATTATGTCACTTTTCTTAGTATAAATCATTGTTCCTGTATGCACTCTAATAATCATACAAGATGCCCATTCACTACATGGAGTTTTCAGCTTCAACTGGGCAAATGCATTGAATACAATCAAGCAGGAAAATGAATGCTGAAATACCGGAAGTGACGTCAGACGCCGGCCACTCGAACTTCCGCCCATGTGACCGGCAATTAGAATAAGCAGTGATTTTAAAATGGAACAGCAGCTGGATGTTTTATGCACTGATGAAAACTCGGACTGAGTTGAAACGCGTCTGCATGACTGTGATTCTGTGTGTCACCATATGGGACCTGCACAGTTACTATTTTAATTTTTAATTTTTACTTACAATAAATGTATTATTTTTATTCATCCTTCTGCTGCTGTTTTTTCCTACTTCTGGGGGATATTATTCAAGATTCTCCACAGAGCCTTCTGAGGCACCCTTGGGCACCATATACAGAGCCTGGCACGGCTCTGAAATCCGTGAGTGTATTCAATCACTTCCATATTTCCTTCTTCTGTATATACAGGCTATACTATGTACTATTTTTTATCTTTATAGGTTTTTATATGGACCATCTCCTATATGTACCTGTACATGTATAAGTATTATTATTGCCTGTTTTGATACACAGGGAGTGGTGTGTGTATTTGGCACTTGTTGCTTTTAGTACCTTTTTCTAATCTTTGAATTATGCACAGTGTCTTCATGCATTTGTGCGTTCCCCATAGAGATGCACTGAGCTAATGCATCTCTATGAGTAGATGCTGATTGGTGCAGTGTGGCAATTACCAAGAATCCACAATAGCACTACTATAATTACATCTTGGCTGTTTTGCCATTTGAATTTCAATGCTTACAATTCCAAATTTAGTGAATAAACCCCATTAATATGAATAAATTTCATAGATTATAAGTGAAACAAAAATGTTCTCTCAATGGCATAACAAAAACTTGGCTTCAAAAATAAAGCTCTTACTGGACCTAAATAATGACACCATGTATGCATTTACTGTGTGTGTGTGCGTGTGTTAATTCAAATTAGAATCTAACGAGGTCAGTCATACAACTACAATATGCTCTGCATACTCAAGTGAGCGTACAAAATTTTGTTGCACATTGGCAGACTGCTAACATCACATCACAAAATTGATTGAGACAAAAAAAAAAAAAATAGCCAGCATTTGGATAATATAAAAGACTAATATACTACTATAAGGTTCTGCACCACAGTGACATTTTTTTTCAGTTCTAATCACGCTTTTTTCTGGTACAACCCTCCCTTCCCCTCTCCCACACACACTCACTTTTTCTCCATTCTATTTCACACTCCTTCGTACATAGTTTAACATTTTTGCAATTTTTGTTCTTGCGATACTTAAAAATGTATATGCTTTTACCAAAGTCTCTGCAATACTTTTGCCTGTGATTTCCAAATTTTAGCTGACTTACTTATGAATCTGGAGAGAAATTTACTAAATGTGTTCATTTAAAGGTCACTGTTTAGTGATAATAGAGGCAGAGAAGTCAAAGAGATCTTTGTTAATTTTTCGCACCATATTTAACTCTTCCTCCAGCTCAGAAGTCCGAGAACGAAGCTGCTCCACAAGACCAGAAAGGTTCTAAAATGGTGGACAGAAAAATGGACAGATGATGTTAAAAATAGAAGTCTATTTTAATCCTTTGAGTCAGGGAGCAAGTGTTTCTTTCCTCTTAATTCACCCAAGAAACAATCATCCTGATCAAAATGAAACTATCACCAGCCTAGCTATACTTGAAAAATAAAAAGTACTAATTTCAAGGGCAGAGCTGTTTTTTGCTGTTTATCATATTTACATGCATCTCAGCATAAAGAAAAGAAAAAAGCAGAAGACTGCAGATTGGGAACTGTCACAGAACTCATATTATATATGTATTGGGGAATCCATTCCGCTTTGTGTAATGGTAAAGATATACAGGAACACATTTGTGGAAAGTTGAATTCTGTAACTTATTACCAGACACCTTAAGAAAAATGTTTGAAAAGAAATAGTGGTGTTTTTTCCCTTTTGTGTCCCTGCAAATGTACTCAATATGCAATAGAATACAATTACACCTCAATAACTAATTTACCCCAAAAGTGTAGATAAAGACACTCACCTTTCCCTCACTTTCACCAAGCAGGGTATGTAGCTGTTCTGCTCTCTGTAAGTATGTGCCCTCTAATCCCTGCAATCAAAGACAAAATATGAAATATACAGAAAGTTAATATAATCAAAAGTGTGACCCAGAAAAATAAATTAAAAAAAAATACAAATAAAACCCCTTGCACTGTCACCTGCTGGTTTCTTCCAAGCCTTAGGATGATACCACCACTCTCAGGGCCTTCACAGCCCTCTGCTCCTTGCAAGTGTTTGCTGAAGCGGGGGAGAGGAAAGCTTGGTTTACTCTCTGCTCTAAGCATATTGGCTGGAGCAGAAATAATGAATGCATTGGTTACCGGACCTGGGGGAGAAAAAAAAAACGAAACCATAGAGTAGAGAAATGCAAGCTATTGATGCTATCTATTGGATAGTAAAGATGCAGGTATAAATGCAGATTATAAGTCATAAATAAAACAAAAACCCAAACAATTTTCATTGGGAGCTCTAACAAAACCGTAAAAAATTTTCTATATGAAAGATGAATATTTTATACCGCTCCCTGCCCCCATACATATTGCAGCACATTTGTAAAGGCCAGGTACAGCTTTCACCTATTACCCTACAAATGTATACGTACATTTTCTGAGAAACCTAAAAAGAAATATAATTAACACAGTTTGGGTAGAATGATATTTACACAACAAGTAGAAAAAAGTATATGTATCAAAAAACATCTGTGATTTTTATGAATTTTTAGCAGGGGTTTAAAAGCAAATGTTTGCATATTTTTATATGTACAGGGCAAAAAAATGTATTGGCAGTAACCACGTCTACAACTGCTAACAATTAAATATTTGTAGGAACTAGACAACCAGGGTATTTATCTAGGAGCCTATGTGCTGCCAAAACTTTTTTCCTATGGGAAAGTTTGAATGCGCTCGCTGCGCATGTGCATTAGACCCCCTCTATGAGGAGCATTGGATAGACCCTGTGTCTCCTCCTGAGGTCATCGCGTGAAGAGAGTTGAACAGAGTTGAGAGAGTTGCACAGTAGGGACAGGAAAACCACAGCATTACGAATAAAGATTGCACATCTAACACTACCGTGTTCCTTTAAGTCACCATTAGACATGTTATCAGAGATCCATTATATTTAAGCATCTTCTCATACTATAGTTCTATTATCATTTATTGTACTTGTGCGTCAGCTGGCTAATCTAGTGTGAGACAGTATGTGAAAACAAACCACTGGTTAATAAATAAAATGCAATACCTCTGTGGGGAACAGTTCGTAGACACTGCTTGCTCTGGATGTCCCAAACACAGACGGTTTCATCATGGGAACCCGATACCAGCATACTCCCATCCAGCGATACAGAGAGGCAGGTAACCTGGTTTCTAAGGTCACAGAGACAGATGGAAACTTTTTAAAACCACTGAATTACGACCAGCATTTCAATGTATTACAAGACAGGTTAAAGCTTTTCAAAAAACTTCAGCTTCCTACCTGTGTCCTTTAAACACCTTCTCCTGCTCTTGATTGAATGTCCTTTCCCTGTGCACAGTCTAAACAATGCAGGTTTATGTTTACATTGTGTTCCTATTAAATAATACACTACTAAGCCTTATTTGGCATCACACTCACCCATGCAAGGAGGTCCACCTGGAATATAGAACCATCACTGCCTCCACAGAATATGTGATATTCAGCTGGATCAAGGGCCACTGACATAATCCGGACATCAAAGAGGACAGAGAGCAGGATGTCCCCCGATGAAATATCCCACAGCTTTAATGAAATCAGCATTCAAAAACGGTTATTAAAACAAAGACTAACCTGTTTGTACATAAATAAAGCTCATATACGTTTATCTGGGATGAAGATCTAAGTTAATATAAAAAAAAAAGTAAAAAAAAAAGAAAACAGACAAAAGAGAAAGATAGAAGGATAAAAAAAAAAAAAGAAGAGTGTTAGGGAGGCTGAGTGTTTGGAAATATAGAGATTTTCAGCTATTTAAATTTATTTTAGAAAAGGACAAAGTAGGAAACATCTTATGCCACCAGTTTATTGATGAATCCCACACTTAAAATCTGCATCTATATCCTATGTAAGCAAAGAAGCACAGGGAACAATGCATCACTATTTGTTTTAGACTAGAACTCCTTGGGAATCCAGGGAAAAAAGTCACAGATACTCTAAAAACAACTCTCCCTGGAGTCACTGATTAATAAAGTAACGCATTATAAAACTTCCCTACCTGATTTTTATATAACATTAGTTGATGGTAACCCACATGCTGCATGGATTGCAAACCAGGGTGAAAACAGTACAAAACAAAGAAAAGAAGTGTGATAAGAAAACAGTCATCACAGCCTTGTTTCATGACTATACACCCCACTGCAGACACATGCCATGCATACACTTTGCATGTTAAAATTATAATACAACACTATAGTGTCCCTCTGCCTCTCTCCCTCTACCCCACCCCACCCCCCAACAGCCTTTAAAGGGTTAAAACCCTTTCCTTTTATTTACCTGATTCTAGCGGGGCTCTGTTATCTCCCAGAACACACTGCACATTATGAATTATGATTTTTTTTTTTACATTTTGATAAATCTAAAAACAGGTGCAAAAGCTGCAGATCTATTGCCGAAGCATTTGCAAGCTTTCCCCTTCTAACCCCAACCAGACTTTCTGTGGCTGTCCAATCACAGATTTACCAATGCAGCTCAATGAGAAGTCTTTGTAAGGCAGACTGACTGCCTCTTGAGTTTAGTTCCATTGTGCTAAATAACTAGGTAGACGCAGGACCAGTTGTATGATTGCAACCATGTGGGAGTTACAAGATTAATTTAGAAAGGTTTGTATTAAAATCTGCACTGTCCCTTTAAATGTTCTGTTTCTTTACTGTTTTGTCTCTAAATGACTGGGAAAAAACTGAATAAATATTCCCATTTTCATATTCGTGTAATGCTCTACTATATGTAAATTATGTTGTCAGTATTTACTTAAAATTTGCTTTTCTTTCCTATCAAAACCTTTTTTCAGATTTTTCAGTGACTTTTTCTAAGGCAAGCTGTGACATCTGTGACTTTACTTTTTTCCGATTCAAAATAGACTTTTTTCCTGTATCCTCCTTGGATGTCTCTCCCCCCTGTGGCCATTAATAATATAACACACATAGACTTAATTGGCACTTTTCATTTTAGGTTACCTACAGTAGTTTTGGATCTCTCTTTTGGATTTGAATAAGTACCTTTAAAATGGATCTACCCGCCACCTTCCAAGACTGACTATAGGACATCGATGAACATACTTTGAGGGGGCCTAGTGGATCCAAACAAACTTAAATCTTAAAGGACCACTATAGTGCCAGGAAAACATACTCGTTTTCCTGGCACTATAGTGCCCTGAGGGTGCCCCCACCCTCAGGGTCCCCCTCCCGCCCGGCTCTGGAAGGGGAAAGGGGTAAAAACTTACCTTTTTCCAGCGCTGGGCGGAGAGCTCTCCTCCTCCTCTCCGCCTCCGTTACGCCCCGCCGGCTGAATGCGCACGCGCGGCAAGAGCTGCGCGCGCATTCAGCCGGTCTCATAGGAAAGCATTTACAATGCTTTCCTATGGACGCTGGCGTGCTCTCACTGTGATTTTCACAGTGAGAAGCACGCAAGCGCCTCTAGTGGCTGTCAATGAGATAGCCACTAGAGGATTAGGGGGAAGGCTTAACCCATTCATAATTATAGCAGTTTCTCTGAAACTGCTATAATTATGAAAAAATGGGTTAACCCTAGAAGGACCTGGCACCCAGACCACTTCATTAAGCTGAAGTGGTCTGGGTGCCTAGAGTGGTCCTTTAAACACTGCAGTGGGCTGTATCAAGCGTGAACGCTTATCCTAAATCATTTCAGTTTTAGGTAAACAGGCTTTTCTTAAAAGCTTTATGGGAAGGAGTTCAGTGACTTCAACACTACTATTATTATGAAGACAATTTCTTAAAATAAATTTTAGAAGGTTTAACCCCTTAAAGGACCACTCTAGGCACCCAGACCACTTCAGCTTAATGAAGTGGTCTGGGCGCCAGTTTCCTCTAGGATTAACCCTTTTTTTTATATAAACATAGCAGTTTCAGAGAAACTGCTATGTTTATAATAGGGTTAATCCAGCCTCTAAAGCCTCTAGTGGCTGTCTCATTGACAGCCGCTAGAGGCGTTTGCGTGCTTCTCACTGTGGAAATCACAGTGAGAAGACGCCAGCGTCCATAGTAAAGCATTGTAAATGCTTTCCTATGAGACCGGCTGAATGCGCTGCTTGCGACACACTAAAAAATAAATTAATGCGGCTGGAGAAAGAGGTAAGTTTAACCCCTTACTCTCCCCAGAGCCCGGCGGGAGGGGGTCCCTCAGGGCACTATAGTGCCAGGAAAACGAGTATGTTTTCCTGGCACTATAATGGTCCTTTAAGGACACATGACATGTGTGACATGTCAAGATTCCCTTTTATTCCAGAAGTTTGGTCCTTAAGGGGTTAACTAAACATTAGAACTTATTTTTAAAGTATCAAACAAAAGTCTTACAAGTACCTTAACAGTTTGGTCGAGTGAAGAAGTAACTGCACGAGACTGTGGGCCGCCAATGCCACATTGCAAGTCTGTAATAGGCAGACTGTGATGAGACCACATGTGACGAGGCTCAGGTACACGAGAAGCTTCCACTTGCAACACACTAAAAAATAAATTAGTATAAAAAAAACCTTACTGTGACAAGCACAAACCTATGCACAGCAATCACACTTCAAAAGGGACAGTTAGCAAAGGATTCTGAATTGCTCCTTTCTAAAGACATTACTTAAAATTGTAACTCTGGCATCAAGGACTCTGATATTTTTGTTACTTTGAAACAGGGCTTTTCACAGGTTCAATTTATTTTTAAAGAACTGGAAACCAGCAGAGCAGAATATATGCATACAGCAAAATCTCCTCATACTATAATTGTTTTATTCATACTATAAAACCGTGCTGTGCAGCATGTGTTTATTAGGTACTACAGCATTCCCATAAACATCAAAAGAAGAAGCAGGTCTGGTTGAGCCATTCCAGCCTTTTCCAGATTACTGCTGATGTCACAGCAACAAAAAGGCAATCATTCAAAAGGTAAACGAATTTTACATTTTTAATGGACAAAGAGTGTCCAGCTCAAGTCTGAAGCATTAACAAAGAATGTGAGAACTCTGAGAACGGACAAAAGCTTGGAGAAACTCAGAAGCTTCCCGCTCAGGAATCAAAATGTTTTTTGCTCACTTGTGCCATTACAAAGAGAACATATTCCATATCATATGAGACTGATCCCCTTCCCCCCTGTAAGAGCAGTCGAGAACAGAAATGCCAGCAAGCTCTCTCTGCATGAGAGATACAGCAACCCGTGAAACGTTTTGGCCTTCTTTGGGCCTCATCAGCGAGGAGTTGCTGATACATCTCTAGGCACAGTGAGCATGGGATCCACATCTGGATTGTCCTTTTAACTTGGGGAGAGCCCCAGAGAAGTATCCTTCAACCAGGATGGTAGAGGCTACGATGACTTCTTAATTCCATTTTACAACAAATCAACCCTGCTTTGTTTTAAATAAGCTAAAACCCCCTCCCCATGCCCCCAAAAAGGTAACCAAGTACCAACAGAAAGGGTAAAATAGAACTGTCTGACTATAGATGGATACATTAGAAGGCCACTCTATAAAACATGGTTCATAGAGCTTCCTGAAACTAGTCACCCAGCACAGGGCAATTTATGATTGCTATTGGCAAATAAATCACTGCAGCTATAAAACTGCGAAGAGAGTGTTTTGCTACTCCCATCTACCTTGTGTGCGTGGAGTGGGCATGACACAAGAGTCTACCTCCCCTTAAACCAAAACAATAACAAAACAAAAAAAGCAGAGGAAAAACCTGATCTGAATAAAAAGTTCCTGACTGGTGGACATCCTCCTGGTCTATGAGTGATTGGCCTGCTGCCTCTGCTTTCATTCTACTTGCAAAAATACCAAGAACCTTGAAGGTTAATACAAATACAAACAGGTGGACAAGTAAAAAACCATGTGCATATGGGAACACATACTGTGAAACCACTATAGGGACCAGAGTTAGCTGGCATCACAAGAGAAGCAGCATATACTGGTAATTTGTGTGAGGGATATTTAAAGGAAAGTTTAATTTAAAGGGCACGCTTACCTTAATAACACTTCTGTGAACTGCAATGACTATGTTGCCTGGTGGGCCCTGATGCCATACCCTAGCATAGTTACAAATTATTTAAGACTGGTTTGTTACAAACCAGGGCTTTACCTGGCAACCAGAGATGTGCTTCATCTCAACACTCTCTGCAAACAAAGTGACCAAAATGGGGGTTGGTCCCAGGGTGCAAAATAAGATTAATTTTTTTACTAAATTTAATATTAAACTGGGTGATGGCACCAGGACTCAAGGCGCAACGAACACTTTAACTCAGTGCACTGATTATGTTGTTTACGTTGCCCCTTTATTGCATTATATAGGCAAAGTATAAATATTTCAGTTCTGCTTTAAATTGAACCAAAATTTGAAAAGATCTCTGTGATTAACTGATACAAGTTGGTCTGTCAAAAAGAATTCACCTGTAAATGTTCCAAACCATAACCAGGCTATCCTTGGCTCCAGATAAGAAATGGCTGCTGTCATCTGTGAAAGTCAAGCATGTGACATCCTGGTAGTGGCAGTTCATAATTGCAAGGAGGCGTCCAGTACAAACCTGCGACACGTAACACAAGTAAGAAGGATAAAAAGTTGCAGTCAAGTTTAAAGCTGAAAGTAAGAGAAGAGAGTCAGTGGCAAATTAAACAAGAGACATATCAGTTAGATCAGATGTTGTTAGGTAATTCTCTTTAGAACATGCCAAACAGCACAGGATATAACTAATTTCCTCTCATCACCTTCCCTGGCCAATGTGTGTAGGATCTCACCTCCCATAAGTAGATACTCTCTGAAATGCCAGCCACCAAATACAGCCCATTGGGAGATGCAGCTAGACATGTTACTGGTCCTGGGCACACAATTTTCTGCTGCAGCTGATCCTAGAAGTACAAAAGAAGGAAAAAAATAGAACAATGATGAGATTGATATTTTTCACCTATGCATAGAATCTAACAGTTATATTTGCTTATATCTATTTTTTTTTTTTTTTTTAACTCAGCAAGAACATGTCAATAAATAAGAAGACAACAAAGAGGAAAATTCCAAATTAGACCATTTAGAATATTAAACATTTTCTGAAAAGAATCACTGGACAAATGGTTTTAATGGCTTCTGAAGAAACCATAACTAATTTATACATACGTGAAGTCTCATCATTGAAATTGACACAGATGCATGCAAGTAAACAGTAAAATTAATCAATTGAACCGCAACACCAGATTTTACAAAAGCAGCAGATTTATTCCACTACTTTCTACTAATGCTATGACTTTTTTTTTTTTAAACTGGGTTTAATAGGCATCAGTCACTTCCACCAATGAGAACTGGAATCCCCCAACAGTCGCTTCCGTTAGCTATCCTGAGCTAAATTCTGCCACGCAGGGCTAGCTCGTTGACTGAGAACATCAGACAATCTGACCGCTGATCACTGTCAGCCAATTAGATAAACTCTGCACAGCCAGGCTTTGAGCTTCCAACTGTCCGAGATGACAGCGGCCAGTGTACATCAGGTAAGATATCAAACTTGCAAATGGTTGAACTACTTACATTATAAGTAGCGCTCTGTAGTAATTATGGTGAAAAAAAAAAAAAAAAAAGATTGGCCCTGAAGTCTCTTGTCTGTGAAAATTAAATTTTCTATTAAAAGGCAGTGTTTACATTTGTTCCTGCGAACACCTCTAGTGGATGTCATTTAAATATCCATTAGAGGTGCTTCCTATCATGTTCCTGCAATCTTTGTAGGGATGACAATTGGCATCCTCACACTCTGCATGAAGATGAACACTCTCGATGAGGAGATGCTGATTGCCTAATATGTATAGACGGCCCCCAAAAACATTGGATTGGCTAAGATAATCAGTAATGATGATTTAAACAAGGGTTGGAGCATCGGCCACGGCGAGGCATGAAAGTTATAATGGTAAGTAATATGGCTTAATTTCCCTTGTAATAGTGGCCTAAAAATGAATAAGGAGGAGGAAATTCTAATGTTCAAAATACATATACATACATATATATATTTATTTTAGCAGGATCAGTGTCAACCTAGAAAGCATATGTGGTATTCAGGGAGGAAGTTTAAAGGAGTCATGTCTAAGAAAAATCACCCTGAAAACCTGCCTATTTATTAACATCAAACCTCTTGATCTCTGGTAATCAGGCCTCCATACAGTCCCGCAACTGCAACAGGTCTATTGTGATTTTGGGCTTCTGTCCTGCAATTGCAGTAACAGGGAACACCAGGTCATAAAATGCACTTGCGATGGGAACGGTCACTAGAACCATGCACAGAGCACTACAATATGGTCCTGTAGTATAGGGCTGGCCAGACAGTCGGTCAGTCACAGCCTGGTGTCCACACAATATCATTCTCTGCATGGCCTTCTCATTATGAGTGTCGCCAGTGACACGACTCAACCGTCCCTATCTCCATTCTTCAGAATGTTGGGAGGTATGGAACTGATACAGTGAGTTGGGTATATCAAAGTTTTCTGTTCCAAAAAGTGTAAAATGGCAGAAGGCACCAATATAATATGCCTACTGGCTTCCATGGTGATTGCTCTACTTTTAGATCACCTTCCAGAACAGAACATTTTGAGCAATCTCCCTCACGGGTTTCAGGTAAACTTACCTTCAAATTGCTAAAATGTGTCGGCCCAACACATCCGAAATATAAAAGGAGTACACTGTGTGTTTTCTTGTGTACTACAAAAAAAAAAAAAAAGTATCTGTGTTTCAAGAAAGAGTAACCATCATGGCCAAGAACCCTGAATGTTATCGGTAGAGCTGTAGAAAAAAAACATATTCCAAAAATGGGCATAATGAATCCCTTACCTTTCTCTGTAGTTCCCACACATTTATGTAGTTTTTTCCGAGTTGCCCTCCGAGCAGATACTGGCCTCCAAGTACCGCCAGACCCCGACCCGTGCTGTTTCCCCCTCGATATGTGAGTAACACCGAACCGGTCAATGGATCCCATACAGTGCAATTTGCAACCTGTCCGGCGGCATCAGCGCTCAGCACAAGCTCCATGGGCGCCGCCATCTTTGCTAAGATCACGTGGTGTGCTACTGGCGGCGCCTGCACAGAAAACACAAGAGCTTGCTCTACAAAGCCCTCAGTGGGAGCACAGCTTCATTACGGGAGGGGGATGGATTCCAAGTCTGAATTCTTTTCTAATATTTTTTTTATTTTTTTTAATTGAAATATTTTTTTATATATCAATAATACATACAAAGAAATAGATGATAAAAATAAGAAAAATAAATTGTTATAATGATACAATATGTTTTTATAACAATATACTTAAGTCATTACATTTAGTGACTGAAGTCATTTTTGAACTTATGAGAAAGTATAAAATGATGGTGTAACTAATGCATCATATATAAGTGCGCCCATACATTTTATACATTGTTTGTTTGTTTTTTCGTTGTTTTTTTATATAACTTATTTATTTTCATCCATATAACATACATTAAAAATAGATTTGCTATATTGCAATGGATTTTTTTTAATTCATATCATATCAATAGCTATAAATTTATTTATACAAAAAATATTCAAATCGCAAAAATAGACACAATAGACCCTTTCATACCCATACAAAAGAAAAAGTGAAACTACTAAGTTTCCATACAAGGAGAGGATGGTGTGGGGGAATTAAGCTTTTGTTCTTAGATATCTAACCCAAGGGGCCCATATTTCATCATATTTCTCTTTGGATACTCTATCCAATGCTATGCCTGCTTCCATCCTATATTGAAAATCCATCTGTGTGCATATGTCACACCAATTCAAAGGACCTATGTTTCTCCAGTTCCTGGCCATAACTATTTTACTTGCCATAAAGATATGAATCATGAGAATTTTAATTTTTATGTTAATCCTTGGCATATCTAAATGGAACAAAAACATTTGGGCAGTTATATCAATTCGTGCCTTAAAAATACAATTTACAAGCCCAGATAGAGTTCAGCTCCTCACAATCCCACCATATGTGGGGGAATGAGCCTAATGCCCTACCACATCTCCAGCAATCTGGTAGGAGTGTAGATTGAAATTTGTGTAGACGAGTGGGCACCAAGTACCATCTGTAAACAAGTTTAAAATAAACTTCCCGTATGTTTACGCCATGTATATGCCTTTTTACAAAGTGTAGACCTGATAACCACTCTTCAAGCGTAAAATAAATTTGAAATTCTTGCTCCCATTTAATCCATGCTGATACTTTATCTATTTGCTTTTGTTTTTTTTATAAAGTGATTAAATCTAGAAGCAATTTTTTCCTATAATAGAATGCTATCAATTGATCGATTGGCATTTTATACATAGGTTTTCAGTAGAGCAGATAAGACTTAATTTTCCTACTCAAAATGTAATATAGGCATCACCAGGCCCGGACTGGCCATCGGGCACACCGGGCAAATGCCCGGTGGGCCGCGGTGTCCATAGGCCGAGGCCGGCAGGGGAGGTCACAGGACATCCCCTGCCGGTCTATGCAGGGCCAGCACTATCCGAGCGCCGGCCCCGCTGTATTCCATGGAGGGCCGGTGGGGAGATCAAAGATCTTCCTCACCGGCCCATTTAAATAGACCTGCAGCTGGGGAGGGAGAGGACCTGGCGGAGCTCTATCTTGCAGCTCAGCTGGGTACCTCTCGCGAGATCAGGAGCGTTGCCATGGCAACGCCCAGATCTCGCGAGAGTGAAGTCTAGTCCCCAGGCTAGAGTTCACTCACCACTGGACCACCAGGGATGGTGTGCGAGTGCCGGTCCCCCCCTCTCAGATACCACGTGTCTGTCCCCCCCTCCCAGGCTAAAGGTAAGAAGGGAGGGGGGATTTAATGCCTGCTTAGTTTTTCTATTTGTTTACTTACCCCCAATACACAACATTTATACACAGCACTCTCACACACATCACTCTCAGCACACACACACACAACACACAACACTCTCACACATCGCACACAACACTCACACACATCGCACTCAGCACTTTCACACACAGCAATCTCAAACATCACATCTTTAGCAGAGCTCTGCGCATGGTCTGCCCTGGAAGAGCATTGAACCAACATGCTCACTTTGAGAGGGGGCGTGTTTGTCATGAGTGATGACAAAACACACCCTCTCTGCCCCGCCCCGTTCTTAGTGGGCCGCTGTGATAAAAAAATGCCCGGGCCAAATTTTTTTCACAGTCCGGCCCTGGGCAAATTTTCGGTTTGGTTTGGCATTCCGAAATTCGGGACTTATGCAATTCGGGACTTCGGCAATTCTGCACTTCAACACTTCAGAACTTCGACACTTCAGAAATTCTGCAACTTCGGCACTTCAACATTTCGGAATTTCGGGACTTCGGCATTTCGGGACTTAGGCACTTCGGGACTTCTCTTGCAGCCGCTTAGTAGATAACTCCCTAATTCCCACGGTATTAGGGAGTTATCTACCAAACATCTGAAACACCTAAATTGGTCTTTCAGCCAAATTTACTAATACTAAGTAAAAATTACTTATAGTATTTATTAGTATTAGTAAATTTTGCCTCTACACGCTATACCGTGAGTAGGGGCATGTCTATTAAACAGTAAGCCACCCATGGGGTGGGGGCCAGGGGGGAGGACATTAGGTCCCCCCCCTTATTTTACTGTAAGGCTCCCACCCACCGCTCAGCGGTGGGGGCCAGAGGGGAGGACATTAGGTCCCCCCTTATTAGTATTTAGGGCCCCCACCCACCGCTCAGGGGTGGGGGCCATGAGGGAGGACATTAGGCCCCTCCCCTTATTTTACGGTTTGGCTCCCACCCACCACTCAGGGATGGGGGCCAAGAGGGAGGACATTAGGTCCCCCCTTATTAGTATTTAGGGCCCCCACCCACCGCTCAGGGGTGGGGGCCAAGGGGGAGGACATTAGGTCCCCCCCTTATTAATATTTAGGGCCCCCACCCACCGCTCAGGGGTGGGGGCCATGAGGGAGGACATTAGGCCCCCCCCTTATTTTACTGTTTGGCCCCCACCCACCGCTCAGGGGTGGGGGCCAGGGGGAGGACATTAGGTCCCCCCCTTATTAGTATTTAGGGCCCCCACCCACCACACAGGGGTGGGAGCCAAGGGGGAGGACATTAGGTCCCCCCTTCAGGTTAGAAGCCCCCACTCGCACAGGATGGGTGGGGGCTCAGGAGGGGGGAACCTTTTTTTGTTTTGTTAAAGTAAGTAGCCATAGGCTCACTGTTTAATAGACATGCCCCTACTCACAGTATAGCGAGTAGGGGCATAATTTACTAATACTAAGTAATCTTTACTTAGTATTAGTAAATTTGTCTGAAAGACCAATTTAGGTCTTTCAGCCTTTTAGTAGATAGCTCCCCAATACCGTGGGAATTAGGGAGTTATCTACCTATTCATTCCTGTCATTACACTGACTGGCTAAGTAACTTACATTTTATATGAATGTATGTTACTTGATTGTTGTAAGTGTTGCAAATGCTTACAGCTGAATCCTGGCTATGTTTGTATAATTTTTATTTTAAATTGTATACAGTGTAACATTCTTCATTCTTCCACTGGGTAAGTATATTAGTTCTTAGGCAATACTGTACTTCGACACTTCGACACTTCAGAACTTTGGCAACTTCGGCAATTTGACACTTCAGAAATTCGGGAATTTCGGGACTTCAACCATTCGGCAATTCATCTATTCGGACATTCGGAAGTACCCGAATTGCCTGAAATTAATTAATTATTTTATTGACAAGATTGACACCCGGATCTTCCCTCTTCCTCCACAACTCATCGTCAGCTCTGTTTATTTATTTTTTTTAACTTTAAAGGACCACTCTAGGCACCCAGACCACTTCAGCTTAATGAAGTGGTCTGGGTGCCAGGTCCAGCTAGGGTTAACCCATTTTTTCATAAACATAGCAGTTTCCAAGAAACTGCTATGTTTATGAATGGGTTAAGCCTTCCCCTATTTCCTCTAGTGGCTGTCTCATTGACAGCCGCTAGAGGCGCTTGCGTGCTTCTCACTGTGATTTTCACAGTGAGAGCACGCCAGCGTCCATAGGAAAGCATTATGAATGCTTTCCTATGTGACCGACTGAATGCGCGCGCAGCTCTTGCCACGCGTGCGCATTCAGCCGCATGGGAGGAGAAGAGGAGGATCAGAGGAGGAGAGCTGTGGAGGCACCCTCAGGGCACTATAGTGCCAGGAAAACGAGTATGTTTTCCTGGCACTATAGTGGTCCTTTAAGTTCTTTCCCCAGTCACTGAACAGAAAAATGGGAAGTTTATGCACTTTTTCCATCCTCTCATTACACCACGTGGCCATTTGATCCCATTCCCTCTCATATAACCTGTTGGTTTTCAAATGCAGGGGTGTATTTATATTTAAATTTGGTGTTTAACATAGAGGTGTGTTTATATGTAGTGTTGAAGTTTGAAAGCTGGGGTGTATTTGTGTGTATTGTTGGTGTTTGAATGCTGAGATGTATGCACATATACACATACACTGACACACACAGATAGATACACACACTGAAACACATGCAGATATATAGACACACATGCAGATATACAGACACACACACATGCAGATACAAACACACAGACTGACACAGATACAGACACACCAATACACATACAGACAAATAGATACAGAACCTGACACACATGCAGATACACAGACACATATACTGACAGACATACTGACACACACACACATACACTGACAGACATACTGATACATTGGCAGATATAATAACACACACACTAACAGACATATGTACACACAGACACATTCCCTGACAGACATACTGACACACACAGAGACACAGACACATACATTGACAGACACATTGACAGACATAATGACTATAGCTTGGTTGCTACTTCTAAATGCTGCTTCAAAGTGTGTGCTTGGAGATATTCTGGAGAGTTTTACAGATTCTTCAACTGTCTAAGACTTTTACAAGAGTTTTATTTTTACTGTGTGATAAAGGTGAAGGCAGATAGGCCTTTTAACCCCAGGGGAAGTATGTGTAGTTTGTGTGTTGCACAACACAAAGCTTTGTTTAGTTA